TCACAATCGGTCTGCAGAAGATTTCTTCTTTCTCGCGGGTATTCTCCGACTAGCAACCAAGTATTTCGTCAACCGCCTCCGCACACAAGCAATCCGTCATCTAACTGATATCTGGTCATACACGCTTCGCGGTCACGATGAGATGATCTCTCGAGCGGTCAACTCTCCAATAATCGACGAGATAACCTACCCTTACGTCCACCCTCTCCATGTCCTGAACCTTGCCCGGGAAGTCAACATCCTACTCCTTCGCCCCTCCGCCATGTTTTTCCTCTCGCTTTACCCTCTGGCGGACATTCTAAAAGGAGACCATCCCAAGTTGACTGTCCAACATGTGTCTCGGCCTTCGTCTGAGCTCGACATCGGTGATATGAAGGACTACACGCTCATGTACCAACACCGCATAGACATTATACTCGACTTCATCCGCCGTGTCTGTGGTCAAAGGGAGCCCGTGCCAGATTGTCTCCACGTGAATAATCCATGCACGCGTGGATTTGTCCACTTGTCTGCTCGAATGTATCGTGCGTGGAACATTAGGAGCGCTCCCTTTCACCAAATGGCTCAAGCGATGGATGCGTTGGATGAAGATACTTCCATATGCAAGCCCTGTAGGAGGGCTTTCCGGCGCGACGTCATCCAATTGCGCAAGACGCTGTGGAGCGAGCTTCCTAGCGTCGTGGGATTGCCCAGCTGGGAGGAGTTAATCAAGATGGACTTGAATACGCAGTGACAGGCATACTATGGTCTCAAGGTGTCGATACCAAGTTATGATAGTGATATTGTCGGGAATATACAGAACCTGATTGGGTACGACCCCTCAGACAGTCATCATCGCTGTTCGAAAACCACCTTGCCCTGAACCCATACACAACGTCGATTTCTGTGATCGCCAAGACACCACCACTTCTCCAAAAGGTCCATGTCCAGGCTGGGTATCTCACCAAAGAAGTCGATGCCCCCAATCCCGTCTGCACAACTGGGATCAAAAATTGCAACTGTGATTGGAGGATTAACCCAACTGCCGAGCTCAGGGATAATGTGTGATAACGCACTTTGTTGAGCATCGAACGGAGCTCCTACCTCAAACCTACCCGCCAGTTCCAACGCCACGGCGCCACCTCGAGTGGCAAGGAACAACGACTCCTTCCAATCGATGCTCAGGTTCACTTCATGTGGAGCTCCATCACCGTCAGTTTCAGTCATAGCCACGATTCGGTGCCCTTCACGCATCCTCGAGACAGTAACTGCTTGTCTCATCGCGTTCATGATATCGATAGAGTATCCCCCGGCGATATCGGTCCCGAGTCCTACCTTGACATTGTTCGCCAAGGCTTCGCGCAAGGGAAAAGGTTTTGCAGAGAAATATGCGTTTGAGAGTGGACAGTGAGCAACTGCTGTGCCGCGGGAAACGAGATGAGATAAAGAAGGTGGATCGAGGAACGTGCAGTGGGCTTGGATCGTTCGAGAGGTCAATAGATGATTCTAGATGAGGCAGAGGACGCGATCAGTGACAACCACAGAGGGAGCGGGCGAAGCGAATCCCCTACGAACTCGCTCAAAGACGTGAATATCATCGACCCCACGCTCCCTCTTGACCCACTCGACTTGGTCGTGAGCCTCCGCCAGGTGGCTTTGAACCCACAGAGACCTCGACTCCGCCATCTCGCCGAGCCCGAGAAGGAGTTCGTCTGAGCACGTGGGGACAAAGCGTGGAGTTATGACAGGCTGGATAAGGCGTTCGTGTTCCGGTAAGTGTGAAACCATGTGCTGGCAAGATTCTACAAAAGAATGGACAGCAGAAAGGGATGCGTGAGCAGAGGGTTCTTGATAGGTAGGTCGGGAGGAGATATCCATTGAGAGCTTTCCGACGAAACCTCGTAGGCCTTTCTCTTGCAACACTTCCGCCAAGATGAGACTTAGAATCGTCAGGTTACAGGGAGAGCGGTACCGTAGTGGAAGTGTCTCACTTGGTGGCCTCTTTGATCGTACCGAATAATAAAACTGCACCAGTCCCGCTCTCTAGCAGACGTTGTGCCAAACGCTCGTACACGGTTCTTGCGAGGGCCGGATCGTTGTCCAAGCGCTCCTCCGCCTTGAATGCATATTCGTTGAGCCAAGTCATCAAGGGCAAATGAAGGCCCGTGCCTTGATACAGATACTGAGGCGCGTGCAGGTGTAGATCGCAGAAAGTGGGCATGATGAAATTTCCAGATGGGATGATAACCGGCCGCACGGAAGAGTGGGCGATGAGATTCTCAGAGTGCTCAGTTGTGGCGGGGGCAAAATGGACGATGAAACCAGCCTTATTCACCACTGTGTTCGACTCAGGATGAGTGAACAAGCAAGTGGGGATGAAAGCATGACCTTGCCTAGCAAGTGATCGGATAGCATCTCTACAACACCTAGACTGGGACAGTGCACGAAAGCCCCCCTGAAGAGCATCGGCTTTCTTGCCATGTTTGCTGTCCTCGATGGTAGAGGCGATAGTGCGTCAATGGGAATCGGCGAACTTGAAGTGTGACGGAGGAGCTCGATGGAGGAAAAGATAACGATAGCGGCAAGATGGCAGGCTCGAGTATGCGATTCTTTGATGCCTTAGGTTCCTATCGATAATTGCGATCTTGGCTGCAGTATGTAGAGAGTAGAGATAGTAGTACGAGTGTTGCAGCTTGGTTGCAACTCGAAAGAAGCTTTGGGCCATCGGTTTGGCAGATTCAGAGAACGTACGTGCCGCTCTGCTTCGTACCACGTCCTTGGTTTGAACGAACACCTCACGGCGCCCAAGCATGGCTTCGTACACCGTCTCCCATCAAGCCTATTTGAAAGTGATCCTCCACTCGACAAAGTACCCTCACAAGGCTGTCAACGGTGTTTTGCTAGGCAGCCTCTCAGGATCACGTCACGTCGAAATCAAGGACGCTGTCCCTTTATTGCACCATTGGACGAGCCTGAGTCCTATGATGGAGATTGGATTCGACCTTGTGAGCTGGATTTCATCACCGTTGCGTTCGTACCTGACTTTTCAAGGCTCGGAGTTACGCGCAGTCTCAGGGCCTTCAGGTTGTTGGTTATTACCAAGCCTGCGAGAGATTGGATGATACAGCCCTTGCCCCAGTAGGCGAGACGTTGGCTGGAAAGATAAAGGAACATTTTCAAGATGCAGTGGCATTTGTCGTGAGTCCATCCCACCTTACCTCTCTGCTGAAATTCCCCATCACGGTGCACTAGGTTGACGGGGAAGTGATGAAAGCAGGGGCACCTGCTTTAGTGGTGCGTTTCCACCGATTTTCTGCTCCTGACTATGCTCTAATCCTACTATTCTCTCAAGCCGTTCTTACCGAGTTCGTCCTCTTCATGGCGACCTGTTTCGGTTTCACCCGCCCCCTTTACCGAAGGTTCATCTTTTGTCTTGGAGTCCTCCGGAACCCCAGCACGAGCTCTTTACGTTGTTCAGAGGTGGCAGATGCACCACAAATTTGGTGATTTTGACGACCATCTCGAGGATGTTACGATTGATTGGCTAAGAAATCCGGATTGTCATGACGAGATTCCATGATAAGTAACATGTACTATTTCTCGTAGTTCTATACATCGTGCTGTGATATCAGCTGTTGGGGCTTTCGCACAATGCCTTCGAGGTTCTGTTTCAAAACTCTTCTCCCACGTGACCTTGCGTTTCTTCCCCGCAACGGAGCAATCGAACCACGCCCTCCAGGATTCTGACCTCAGACCTCCACGGTCGACTATCGTCCTTGCCTTCAAAATGTCTGCTGCAACAGAAGCCCCGTCTTTCTTCACGGCGACATCCGCTTATTCTCTTGCCGCCGTCGCCACCATCGGCTTTCTGGCGAATACTGGTGCAAATGCCTTGCTCCCAAAATCTGCCAGGTGGCAAGACCGTTTCACGTTTATATGGCTAGTGAGAAATATCCCACTTCAAACTATCCCCACCTTTCTGATGCAGCTAACCCCCACCAAAGGCGTTCGATGCGATGATTCACTTTTCGTTCGAGGGCTCGTTCTTGTTCTTGTCGGTATTCGGTCGACAGGTGAACACGAGCGTGGGACCCTTCGCTGAGATGTGTGCGTCATTCAACTTGTCCCTCGATAATCCTCGTTTTCTTATCCAGGTTCGGTTGAATAGGGAAGGAATACGCTCGTGCAGACTTTCGATGGGGTTTCTCAGACCCTACCGTGGTCTCGCTGGAAATCCTGACCGTCCTGGGGGCTGGGCCGATGTGCTGTTTCATCCTCTATCAAATCGTCAAGAATGATCCTGCCAGACACTATTGGCTGGTTGTCCTGAGCACCGCAGAACTTTACGGAGGGTGCGTGCGCGCCGAGGTTGACTCGTTTGACATCACGCTGACCATCGAACTGTAGTTGGATGACCTTTTGCCCCGAATGGTTGACCGGAAGCCCCAACCTCGACACTTCCAACCCATTGTACTTTTGGGTTTACCTCATGGTGCGTCATGCTCCTTAGACATTCACGTTCTCCGTCCATTAAAAATCTCTCTCGTTTAGTTCATGAATCTCATGTACGTCCTTTGCATCGCCCGTTGTTGCTCTAATGGCTAATATGTCTTCAGATGGGTGTTTATCCCAATTTGGCTCATGGTTGATTCTTACGGCCATATCGCCAAGTCCATGCGGTACGCACAGGCCGTCGCCAAACCGAAGAAATCATAATGAGTGGTTGCGAGTCGCCTGCGTCATCTAGCAGGAGGTGTATGCTCATTTTGGTTGATAAGAGCTACCGTGGATACCTTGCGAGACTGTTGGCTTCATTATGGACTTTTACTTCGTGTCATTCATGCTTTGTTGTCCGCTGTGCTCACTTTGCCTTGGTCACTTACTCGCAACTCAGTATTCGGCTGCCGCACTGATTCGATGATTTATTGATGGCCGGTGATATCTGGGATGGCGTACGATGAGAGAATGGTCTCCTGTCTGTCTACACGGAACTATACCACGTCACGATCTGTAACTTCCATGACCTCGTGGCGCAGTGGTAGCGCGTGTGATTCCAGTTAGGGATTCCACAAGGTCATCCGTTCAATCCGGGTCGAGGTCAAATCTTTTGTCTGTCGGAGGTTTGTCGACTTTGTATTTTGTTGAAACACCCTTTGATTGGAATGGACTTATCGCAGGACGAACATTCGCAGTCTCCACCAGGCAGAGTGCGATGAACTCATTGCTTCACACACTCTCAACAGTTTTGAGCGGAGAGGTTGACGCCCATCTTGGGTGCAGCTGCCGCTGGTACCGTGGCTTCTTGTCCAATTCATCCATTGTTCAATATCGTTAATTTGGGTGTGTAGTGTGATTAATATTGGGTGTCACGAGAACTAGACGACTGTCCAAAACAACTAACAGTAGAAGAAACATGTCCATAGCAATGTGGTGTATCGAAAATCAAAGAAACGAAAGTCTGTCGACGCCAAAACCTCGTCTCGAAAGAGTTCGTGAGTGTCCTAGAGGATCGTGAATTCGGGAGACGTATTGCCAGAGTCGCCAAACACTTGACGACAAGAGTGAGCACCAAGAAACAGATGGTGTGACGGAAACGAGACTTACAGACAACAATGTAATCGAATCGTGTGACAACGTTGGGGACGGTGACTTGAACACTGCCGGTGCTGAGCAGGAAACCGCTAGCCAGGGGCTGTGCTGGAGTAGACACGGCAACATCAGTACACTACAACCAGAATACGACAAAATTATCCATTCGCAACTCACCAATATTCAGATTCTCGCTACCATTCTGTTCATATCCCAACAACAACAAGCCGGTCGAGTTCTCCTTCTCGGATGGGATATTCGAGGTATCCCAGGTGACGGTTTGGATCGAGCCTTTGGGCCAAATCTGGCCGGCTGTAGGGGAGGTGATGGGTGGGCTGTAGACGATGAGCTCGGTAGCAGCCGCTGGTGTCGGAGATGAGTGGGCCGCGGAAGCAAGGAGGAGAATAGAGGCGACAAGAGCGGGGAGACGGGGGAACATTCTCTTCGATGTTACGGTGAGGTGGTGGGTATTTGGTTAAAGTTGACTTGTGGTTGAAAGAGTGAGAAGAGGTACGTCGACGTTGACAAAGGGGAAGGAAAGACAGTAGGGGACTTGGTGTTGTGAACAGGAAAGTGGTTGACTTTATACCAAATGCTCCACGAGAGAAGATCCGGTCACAGGTGATTTCTTTCGCGGCATCCGAAGAGGAGAAGTCGTTTCGGGTGCCGCACACAAGCCGCACATGATGCACGATGGCCTGGCAACAAGTTCCTTCTCGCAACCCGCTAGTTTTCGTCGGGATAGCGTTATGGGTGGTGCAGAACAGTCCCAAATGTTTATCGTAGTCGTATTACGCATATGCCTTCCCCATGCTCATGTGTACGGGTATGCTTGAGCGGAATTCGCGGACGGCTCGCCATCCAACTTGAAGGCAGAAATTGGGCAGCAGGAAGAGTGATCTGTTGTGAGGTGCAAAAGGAGGAACCAAGGAAGGCAGCAGGACTTGGCGTGAAGGATGAAAGAAGCAGACGAGAAGGATGGAAGCATTACGCGTTCGCTTCTTTTCGCCCAAGACGGAAATCACTGCTCCACTGGAGTATGGCCCATCTTTTGGCTTTACGCGTCCATGTCACAGGTGACCGGTGAAGGAAAGTTGGGGTGTCGCGAGGGCAACGAGTGCGTCTGGTCATTCGAAGAGACAAAAATTGGCTCAGTTCAATTCGTTGGGACTACACTCCGCCAGCAGCCAAGCGACCACCCTTCAGGACCTAGCACTCAATGTCGAGGGTTGGTTGCAGCCAAGGGATAATGGTCAACCCTTATGGAAGCCCCGTAGGCGACTAACTGCCGCGATACTACAGAGATTTCTATCGGCCACAAGCCCGTAGCATCCACAAAGTATATCAGGTACACATCCCGAGTCGAGAGGAACATGACAAGTACTCGGACGTGCGATATGATGCATACCCGGAGGATGTTTCGCTTCCGCGAGAGCACTGACGTGTCCTGGCACCGCAGCAAGAGCACTCTTTTTCCAAAAAGAGCTGAAATGAGACGTCAAGGGGCGATGGCGAGCTGCAGTGAGGCGAGGGTGAGAGCGATAAGGCAATTCTGAGCGATCCTCATCCGGGATCGAAGGTCGCAGCAGTGGATCCCACGACTGGTGTGCGGGTATTTGTTGGAATATGTGGTAACGTCTTCAAGCGGGAGGTCGAAGAAAGGGATACGAGGAGCCATTTCTTGTAGATCGCTGCCAACAGGGAACTCCAGCTTCAAGAAATGAAAAAGGCTGAGGATTGACACCAAGCAAAATCCTCCAAAAGCACGCCGCTGCGAAAGAAGCCGTCACGGCGTGTCACGATCGTCGATCCAGCGTGACGATCGAGCAAAGACATTTCCATGTCGCTGTCAGTTCAGATCCTCACCGTCTCTATAACCTCCATCATGAGCCAGCTCGACAGTTCACCTTTTGTTCCCCCTTCCAAATGTCTGACCTTCTCCTCGACACGCCCTCCAAACATTCCCTCTCCTTAGCCGGCTTGGCCGATTCGGCGTGGACTACGCTGAGGGAGGCTGCGTTCAAGACGGGCTGGAAACCAATTTCGAGGTTGGCAGAAGCCGCCGTAGTCGCGTACGTTCGCCAGTGGTGCATCCCATTTTCCATCTGATTTATTCAGGATTTTTCAGCTTGATGCAGAATATAACGACAGGTCAACTCCGAGTTCTCACCTACGACCACATATATACCTTCCCCGCCCCTGGTTCGAAGCAGGAGGCGGAGAACCCGATGCCTGATCTCAAGGCAGAACTACGCGTTGTCGATGATGTGTTCTGGATACGACTTTGTACCATGAGCGATCTGGGTTTTGCGGAGGCTTACATGTATGGAGATGTAGAATGTGATGATCTCGTCTCTATTTTCCTGGTCAGTTGTCTCTTTCGCTGACTACATGCGCATATATTTACATGAGGTGTCTCAATAATTAGCTCTTCCTGTATAACAAGGATAACCTCTCGAACATGTCCTCCAAAGCATCCTATTTCTTCAGTATCCCACAGAAACTCACCTCGTACCGCTTCGTCAATTCAATCGGTAATTCACGATCGAATATCTCTGCCCATTATGATATCAGCAATGAAATGTTCAAAGGTATTTTCCATCCTTGTACTTTGGGTTTCAAACCTGACTTTGGGAATTACTTATGCAGGATTCCTGAGTCGGGATATGACTTACTCGTGTGCCATCTTTGATGATCTCGATGGCGACCTCAAGGAATTATCTGGTGAGAAGGGAGCATGGAGTGGTGGTCAACACCTCACTCGAGTCTCCCATCCTGCCCCATTAACACCACCTACTACCTCCGCCTCCTCCTCTTCCGTCTCATCTACCAACTCCTCAGAGCAATTACACAACGACGCACACTTTCTCCCTCCATTCCCCCAGTCGCATCCAGACCCACTCTACGCAGGACAACTCCGAAAACTCAATCACATCCTCTCCAGGGCTCGTGTTCAACCGGGCTACAAGATTCTCGAAATTGGTTCAGGTTGGGGTAGCCTTTCTCTCCTCGTCGCCCGGACCGTTCCTGGAGTCGAGATCCATACGATTACCCTGTCGACCTATCAAAGACAATATGTCTTAGACCTCCTTCGCCGCAGCGCCGAAAGCCAATCTACTGGACATGGTGACGATGGTTTCGCACCTTTGGCTGAAGGCAGTAGTGTTCACGTTCACCTTATGGATTATCGTGACATCAAAAAGAAAGAGGAATGGAAGGGCTATTTTGATCGAGTGGTTAGTGTGGAGATGGTCGAAGCCGTTGGTGGGGAGTTTTTGGAGGAGTATTGGAGTGTTATTGATTGGGCTTTGAACTTGCGTACTGGTGTTGGTGTCATTCAGGGCATTACTTTGCCTGAGGCTAGTGAGTATCTTTCTTTCTCTTTGGGCGTTACCTTGTTAATCGTGTCCACCGAATAGGATTCGAGACGTACAAGAGTGAAATTGATTTCATCAGGAAATGGGTATGATACTCGTCTATCTTGTTCCTTTGAGGCTGTCTGATTCTTGTCTCTGTTTGCCTGGACCACAGAGTGAGTCTACTTGTCCCTTTCCTCTCGTAAAATGCTCACCGTCTGCTCTCCTCCGAAATTCATAGTCTTCCCCGGAGGTTTCCTGCCGACCTTGACTCTCCTTTTAGAAACTCTAAACAAAGGTTCGAAGGGAAAACTTGTTGTAGATTCGGTACGTTCATCCCTTCCTCGTGTCTCCCTCGATAATTGTTCCTACTTCGGCATATACCCACTATTGTGTCGTACCCCCTTGTCCATGGGCAAACAGCTAGCGTACGGGTAATTGGGGGCCGGTATACCCCATTTTCATGCGCATATAGCCAGCCTTCCAGCTTATTTGTCTCCTGTTTCTACACTTATATTTCGTATCTCATAACATCCATTCTGACAAGTCGATTTCATCAACCTAGGTTTCGAACATCGGTCCTCATTACGCCCGAACTCTACGACACTGGCGCCAAGCATTCCTTCAAAAATTTGATTCTGTCATCGTACCCGCTTTGGTGAAAGAGTACCCTGATGTCATGGGCGGTAAGAACGGTGCGCAAGAAGTAGAGGTTTTCAAGAGGAAATGGATATGTACGTCAACTATCACATCGCATATTCATACCAACGTAGCCAGTTACTCACGCACGTTTCCCTTTTAGATTATTTGTAAGCTCAGCAGCCTTTCTTTTGCACGAGCAGTGTCTCACACAATCTCAATCGCAGCTGCTATTGCGAAGTTGGGTTCACGACTAGGACGTTAGGAGGTTGGTCTTCCATAGCACTCTTCTTGAGGTTTCCTGACACTTGCTTTGTTCAGATCACATCGTCACTTTCGTGCGGGAAGGCAACGAAGATTACGGCTGTCAGGTCTTCGAATGATGTGGCTCTTCAAACTCACCAAAACAGTATCACCATGGGGCGGCCGTGCCGTGATGGCCTCGCAATCGAGGTGCTGATAACTCGAGCAAACCGATGAGATCCCTAACCAATGCGTATGTACATGATGCGGATAG